GTAATAATAATAATAGAAGTATACTACTGGAATACTAATAATCTAAATGCAATCTATCACTAGAATATAATAATCAAAAGAATCCATGGAAATCACCCAAGTAACAAGATCATGCAGCTAACGATCAGAATAATCATCCAATTAACAAGGTCATACAACTAGATGAAATTAATACTTAAAAATCTACAACAAGAGACGTAGTACGTCGAGCAAAATAATCCAAATAAAGGAACCCTCATGTATATACCATATGTCTCAAATTATAGATAATTAAATATTAATCCCGATATATGTATGAAAAGAAATACGACTTGTTCGTATCTCACAAGAATCCATAATCACATTAAGTAACAAGGTCATGTAACTAGCCATTCTATAACAGGTCACTGGTCCACATCTCACACTGAGTCAACGCTCATATCATCGGATAACCGACTGTTCACAAATCTCCTACGTGCATCCAATGCCGCTATACGAATCGGTCAGAGGACTACACGCAATCTGATTCCGGCCTGGTCCGAACTCAAGCAGGACTCGGGTGACTACACTAATTTACTAACCAAAGTGACTACACGAATTCACTTTAGCCCAACAAACCAATCTCAGTGACTACACGAATTCACTGGTGCGAGCCTGAAAGATACATCAATAGCTATATCCGATCACATGAACCAAGACTTTCCCATCCCAACTCATCTCGCTTTTCTAAGTCAACAACATAATCCACACTAGATCTTTGATTCACCTCCTAAATCTAGTCAACGCACACACACACACACACATGTCACTAAGTCTTGTTCATGACGCACAAGGCCACTAAGTCATGAACTACTAAAGGTTCTAAAAAACAATAAGAAATAATAAATAAAATAATCAATCATGTACAACGGTATCATAGCATACCACGTAATTAAAATAAGAATCATGGAATCGACGATTGTTTTGCACATAAAATATCGCGGTCAACAACCATGTATCACACGTTCATAAACTAAATTAATTCAAAATAAATAATTTTTTTGCAAAATAAATTTCTTTCAAATTATCTTTCACCATAATTATTCTAAAAATAATCTCTTAAAATAATAAATTCATAAATTCAAAATAATCTTTTTTACAAGATAAATTCTCATTAATTCAAAAATATCTATTTTCCCAAAATAAATTCTTTTAAAAATATTTATCACTCTAAAATGATTTCCTTCCACAAAATAAATTAAAAAAACAATTAAATATTCTAAAATACCAAAAAAATTATTTAACTAGTATCAAAATTCACGATCATTACACACTTATACAGGTTAATATATATTATAACAAAATAGAAATTACAAAGAACATATGAGTTTCACATTAAAAAAAAGCTAAACAAGACAAACCTTTTCTGACGTATTTTTAGAAAAATATCTACTTGACTCCCTCTCGGACATTCTACCTACACATAAACCACAATCATCACATTCTATAAAACTGAATTACTCTTGGACATTTCTTCAAACACCTGCATCACCTCCTTAACCAACTACTACCTCGCATAACCGCTAATCATTTTAATCCAAATAATTACATCCATCTTTGTCATTCTATCAACATTTTTCATACATCAACCTCATCATCAAAATTAGATACTTTTGAAAAAAATTCTAAACATTTTTGAACCCAAAAACCCAAAGTTTGTCACATGGTCATGCATTTGGTGACCAAATCTAACTTAGTTTCATTTCTAAACGTTTTTGAACCCAAAAACCCAAAGTTTGTCACATGGTCATGCATCTGGTGACCAAATCTAACTTAGTTTCATTGACAAATTGATTGAGAAAGCAACGCTTATTGGTAGGATGGGGTGTGTCCATCCGGGCCGGTCCGACCCGGCTCGGCTCGGAAATCCGGGCCCGGGCCAGGCAAAACCGGAGCCCGGACCCGAGTACCCCAGGCCGGGCCCGATCGGGCCGGGTTTCGGGTCGACCCGGTTTATTTTCTATTTTTTAAATTCTATTTAAAATTTAAATTATACAAAAAAGATAAAAAAAATTAATAAAAAATAATAATTTTATTAATAACTTAAAATGACATAAATTACAAATAAAAAAGTAAAAAAAATAAATTCTTTATTAATAATTAATAAACTATTTACAAATTACAAGTATAAATTTGTTTTGGAATTTATCACATCACAATAGATAAGTACATCCCAACTAGGTTTTTTTTAAAAAAATTTCTTTTCTTTTTTTGATAAAAAAATGCTAAAAATTAGTTTAACATTATTATATTTTATATAATTATGTATTAGTATATACTTATAAATTATTATGTAACTATATATTATATATACATTATTATATGTAAATATATTGTATATATTTATAAGTTATAACTTGAGAGAGAGAGAGAATCGCATAAGTAGTCGTTGCCCGTTGGGCCAATGGGGAAGAAATAACTGTTGTAATATACTATACTTATATATACTTATATACTAAGAGAGAGAGTACACACACACACACATATTATACATATATAAGAGAGAGTATACTTATATAAGAGGGAGTATACATATATAAGAGAGAGTATACTTATATATACATATATACTAAGAGAGAGTATATATATATATATATATATATATATAATACATATATAAGAGAGAGTATTCTTATATATACTTATATAAGAGAAAGTATACTTATATATACTTATACATATATATACTTACATAAGAGAGAGTATACTTATATATACTTATATACTAAGAGAGAGAGTATATACACACA